ATGCATCCAAAGAGTTTGCGATGTTCTTCTCCATCTAAGACGCCTTACATGTATGCGTCGCATGCATGGATCAAGAGAACAGATGATGATCATGATTCTCATATCAAAAAAAAAATTGCACGAGCATTCCGAAGATTGTCAAGTGACAATTTGCCCGGTGTTTCCAAAATGTACCCTTTTAAATTTATTTTGGTCCAAAACAATTTGCAGCCCAAAGGGACTATTTGAAAACATTCTAGCTATTTGCAGTTTGAACAAATGAAAAAGCAATGCCAGTAAAATCCAGTGATGCACAAAGGACGACACTTGCACAACGCTAAATTTTATTAACATGTTTCCATTCCATTTCTTAGACTGTCCTGAGTGTTACCGCCTTATCTACGTGGAGGTGAAAAAGCTTCGAGTAAGCTCAGCTGCCCTAGCCAACACAATAGATCGTCTACGAAATGGACATATCGGGGACGCCTCATTCGCCCAAAGACTTGCCAATTCTAATGACACCGTTAGTAGTTTGGTCTCTGATGCAGAAGAGTCGCAAGAAATAGAGAAGAATGTAACGGAGCAGATTAAGCAACTCAATGAGACTCTGAATCGACTGGAAGAAGTCTTGATGCAAGAGGTCACACCTGGTGTGAACGAACTGTCTAGTAACTTGACTACTGTGGAACAGGATAAGGAAAGAATAAGACAGCTCATTGCGCTGATTCGTGATGAAGTGCGTTACAGCAATAATCTTCTCAACATGTCGATCGATCCTGCTGTCCTCGAGGTTGAAACTGTAAGCGATTATCTCAGCAATCTGGTACCAAGGTTCAGTGGGCTGGCGGACAATTTCACGGCGGCAGCAACACGTCAAAATGAAACGGCCTACAACATCCAAGGTAAAGTGAATAACGCTGACTCCGTGATTGCAGAAGCTAATACGGTGGCTGAAAATACAGTAAATGAGCAAAGCGATCTTGAAAGTTTCCTTGATGAACTGAAAATGCGCGTTGATGTGATACAAGCCTATGGTGAAGCCATGAATTCCACAGCTTATGAGCTGTTTGTTAACGCGTCGACTGTCTTGTTACAAGCCAATGAGACCATATCACAGGTAATGTTGCTGGATCCCAACAATACAGTCACGGTCAGTCAGATTGAAAGAGCGGCGATGCAGGCGAGCAGGCAGGCACAAGAAGTAATCTCAAGAGCCAAGAATCTGACCCAGACATACTCCAATTTAACTGCACAAGTTGGGTTAGCTGTCGAAGAGGTGCAAGCTTTGATGCTTCGTGTGGAAAACGCCGACTCATCCGGGCAAGAAATCCTAAAGAAATCACGTAGGGCTAGACAAGAAGCCATGGACGCTGTACAACTTGCCACCAAGGCTCTTGAAGACGCTGAAGAAATGTTACAGATACTGCAGAATTTCGAGTCCAAGGCACAGGAGGCGCAAGAGTTTGCTGACCTGTCGCTTCAGCGAGCCAAGGAAGCTAACACCACAAGCTTGAATGCCATTCAGTTTGCCCAGGGAATCAACGCTTCCCTTCAAGCAACGCTAGCAACTGCTAAACGAGGCCTGGACCTAGCACAGCAAGCAAGGAATATTTCACTTGACGAGAATCAGGTAAGTGAAGCAACATTTTACCGACGGCTTTTGACTTGATATCTATCTCGCAGTCGTTCGTTAAAGGAGAACTTGTACGGGTCAAGTATGCAACTCTTTCATTTTCAAGCACGACTCGGTTTTAATATTTCATTCAATATTTATCATTCAACCTGTTGTACAAATTAGGACCGTTTTATCAGGGTGTTTCACGGGGTACTGGTTAGTTGCTTTAGTAAACGTGAACCTGTCTAAACGAAGACGTCTTTTCTCATTCATATTCCAACTGAACCGTCTTGTTGGTTTCCTTAGGCTGTGTCCATTATTCATGAAGACGCAAGGGCACTTTCTCGTGACGCAGGCCAATCCAAGTTCACAGCAAGCTATTTCAGGCAAGTCGAACAGAACGTCACCGCCATGAACTCCTCTTCTCAGGGACAGATTGACGTGTGTAAAGGAAACTATTCCAAGTTGGCTTCCAACGCTCTGCGAGATGCTCATTCTGCGAAGAGTGAGGCAGACAAAGCTGATGTTGCTGCAAAGAACTTGAAAGCGCGCGTTGATCGCGTAGTGTTAGAAGCTGGTAGACTACAGCAGGTGAACGTCACGAGGCTGAGTGAACTACAGAGCGAGATACAGAGGTTACGTACGGAGTTTACACAAAAAAATCTTGCGGACATCATTACAGAACTGAAAAATGCCAAAGAGCAGCAACAGCAGTTTGTAATGGAATATCGAGAAAAAGTCAGGCAAAGGCGAATGGAAATCGCTGAACTTAAACAACTTCACGCATCACTGTCGTCAGTAACGTGTGACCATTCATCATGATAGTCTACGAAGACAGTGTAAATTAACAAAATGGAAATGCAGCGTGCGGCGACAGCCTATCCTGAAGGCTATGAACAGACGATTTGTACGACTGACAGTTAGGACTGGGGATAGGGAATCTCCCGTTTTGATTTTCATTAGGCAGGGTTATCTGCACGCTGGTCTTCAAGGACTTTGGTATCCGGGATGCTGGACAAACTGATGCCAAATAGATATACTAGGAAAGGAACACTGAATGAATTCAGTCGAACGTCAAATTTTACCTTGGCTTAAAATTATCAAATTGTTACAGTTTTAATTATACGTAAAACCGGCAACGGGATGTCACAACTCATCACTCTCTTTGTACAGTTATTCATCATATTCTCGCATGGGCCTATCTCTGTGCGTGCCTAATGATAGGTATCAAACTGTTATCAGAAAAACCTTGATCGACTCGCTTCAGAATTGACACTCAGCTTCAAAAAGTTTTAGTCTAAAAATTAATGTCCTCAGTGACAAAAATTAAGTATATCGAACTTGAAACTTTGTTAACTATTAGGAGAATTATATAAATAGTAAAGGCGATTTACGATCGAGATCTAGTGGCAGTTTGCTCACCGTTGCCGGGTAATGAAGACAAACTTATGTGTGTGTTCAGATTCCCATAGAGGTAATATTACGTTCTGGTCAACTGAACATGATTAGTTCAATGAAGTGAAAACAAAAAAAATATACTAAAATTTATGGAATCCTCAAAGATAGCAATCCTCGGAAAGCAATCTAAATGTTTGACTTGTTTGTTTGTTGTTGTTGTTGTTGTTGTTTTAACAAAAAACAATTATTTTGGTCCCTATCGGAACTATGAAGACAGCTTTGATACGCCTTTTTATAAACTATTTATTGAGTATTTTTGACGCGTTATCTTCAAAAATTATATTTAGATTATTAAATTATTGCTTGTGATTTCAATCATTTTTTTTTAGATCATGGACGGTGAGATTCGTGAGAAACGCTTATCTGATGCTACAGTTTAAAACATGATTATATAATAGATGTTTCCATTTTCGTCCTCAGAGCCCTCTTTTCGTTTTGTCAGCGGTGCGCGGTAAGAACTCGGACTCTGTCCAAGTCCGATTTGAAAGTTGGCCAGAGTGTGCGTTCTTTTCGCTGGTCAAAAGAAAAGCAAGCAAGCTCTGGGAACGATATTGGGACTGTGTGTGAAAGGAACGTAAACCGAGACGACCATGTATATACTTAATAATGCTTTACTTGTATATTAGATTTGTACATAATTACTTTGTATGTAAAGAAACAGCTTAAGCTTCAAAATAAAACGAATTTATGATTTTTGCCCTGTGTGTATCCGCCAGTATCTTGATCAAGCCCTAGTGTCTCAACATTTATAAAAAAATGTTTTCAAATGTTTTGTTTATAGTGGTCAACTGGCTTAGCTTCACCTAGTAGCTAGTTCACAGGCATGCCACTTTTAAAACACTGAAAGAAACAAATTAATATATCAACTAAGCATAAGAGACTTAAAAATCCCAACTGGCGGGAGGCAGACCAGGTGGCTATTTACAAGCACGACCGAGTAGTTGAACTAGGGTCTATCGAGAAACCTCGAAGTAAATAAATACTACTAAATAAATACCACCAAGGTTTACCAAGCAGTGCCTACAACACTAGAATCTCTTTCTTTTTATCCCACCCCACTACCCCTAGACCGATCAAAGGAGGCATATTGCTGCTTAATCAACAGCTGTACGCAGTAAATGAAATTACCCCGATTGATGATGCTTCCTATTGCGGATTGTTAGTAAGGTTATGTAGAAAGTAGTGTGGAGGCGCGGTGGCCTCATGGTTAGTGCGCTCGACTCCAGATCGAAATTTCCGTCTGGTTGAATCCTTCTTATAAGCCCGTCGATGTAGACGGGAGGTTTATAACCCGGCGCCTGACTAGTGGAACCTCACAGAGGGTGGGGACTGTTTCGGAGTGGAGGCGGGGGAGGGCGGTTGTGACACAGGTTACCGTTTCAGTAGAAAACAGCTCGGTTTAAAAACCTGGTTTTTAATTTGAAATAACGGCCGGAAAGTTCAAAATAACGGAAATTCGAATTAGCGGGGTCCAACTTGCCGACTATGGTGGAGTGAGCTAAGGAATTCGTAGGGGAGGCGAGAGAAATGATACGATATTGATACAAGCCTACTTGATCTGTATAAGAAACCATATATCAGTCAGATTTGTTGTGGCAATTTTGAGTTCGTCGCAAACGAACGTTTTTAAAAATCGAAACATAATGAATGAAAACTTCTTGTATAGCCCCGCAAAGGAGATTTGTTTTGCCAGAATATCAGGCAAATTGATTTTACTGTTTGTTATTCCAAGGTTAAATATCTGATTTTCTTGCCGTAAGGACTAGTTTTCTAGAATTAAAGTTTAGTTATTAAAACGAGGCATTGTTTATTCCTCTTTCTAATCACAATTTACAACGGCAATAAAGAAAAAAAAAAGCCAAACGCTTTCTGTGTGGCCTTTCGATTCCTTCTCTAAACCTCGCAGAGCTCCTGCACTATAAAATTGCTGTTGACAAGTTTGTAACCGAGCATCCAATAGGAATGCATTTCCGGTTGGTCACTAGAACACGGCAAATATAAGTGGTTTTCGCAGTTTCTAAAGAAACCTAATTATATTCATGGTGGAGGCTGCCCTGGGGCACGACAGATGGCGAGTTACGGTTTATAGTTATCTGCGTTTCATTATCCTTAGATTGTAACAGTGGCTGCGTTCGTACGTCGTACAGATGTTAGACCAAAGGATGTAAATTACCTACAAGACATTTTATTTTTATCTTTAAGACAATCTTCGCTGGACGCAGGGGAAATATGTAACGTTTAGAAACACGGTCACTTGCAAGATTGGAGTTTATCCTGCTATTAGTGCCTCAACATGAATTCTTAACTTGATTCAAGACTCGTTATTCCACGCATCAATTGTTCGAGGCTCGAAGTTATTTTAACTAATTTGTGCGAGTAGATACTCTCGAGCAATATTTTGGTTTGTCGTCGACATGAGCGGCCCTTGACAAAAGTATTCGGACGACAGTCGGCTTGCCTTCCGAGCGGAAACAAGAACACAAACATGGATCGATCAAAAAAGCGACAAACGTTCGCTCCTGAAAGACCGAGTAGTCTTGTTGTAGGAGAGTCTAGAACTCCAGGGAGGTATCTTGCTCGACCAACGCTTCAGTTTAAACGATACTCGAGTCCACCGGGAACCCTGCAGTTATCTGAGGGAACTGATCAACTCAACCAAACACCTAACCGGTGAGTCGCCAAAACATAGATTTAGCAATTGTAGTTTAATTAACCATCATGAAGTCCGGTTCTATTCTATATTGAGCGTCTGTAGTCTTCTTTTTTTTTTTTTCCAGCAATATTAAGATTTGCATGTATTATCGGTTGCAGTAACGTACACTGATACAAGTTTAATCTATTATGTTGGGTATTTAGTACGTTGAGACTGTTGGATATTGTTTGCCTGTTAGTTTGGTGTTGGTCAGATTCAACAATTAACATTTGTGTCGAGAACAATCGTCTTTCGTTTGTTGTCGCCTCGCGCAATCATATTGTTGTTATCATTATGTGGTTAGGTAAGAGTCAAGAATGACGGCTTGTTGACGTTTTGAGGTGATTTTTACTTCGTAACGAGAACGACCATTTGAGAAATGTTTGTGTTATCAAGTTCCTGAAATAATACGTTCGGATCATTTTGGTCTTGGCTGTGATTTAGCAGAAATTGAGCAATTTTTCCGTCTGCTGGTAATATGTAAATAATAATCAAATCGAACAATGCAACCATTAGCTTCGTTTCTATCAAAAGAAGTTCACTGGCTTTGTTTGATAGAAACCAAACATGGATGCCTATTGTACGCATAATTTTCAGAGTCGAAACAAAAATCTATTGACAACGATAAACACAAATCGTAATATTTTAACCACGAAGTGAAATTTACATCTTGAAATTTACGTTGTCGTCAAGTACCTTTTGTCTCCGCCCGAAAATTTTTCACGTCGCGAATTACTGGTATTTTGTTGGTCTAGTAAACCACGCTAGTCTCAACCATATCTGTCATTTACTAGCTGGTAGATAAATGACAAAATCTACGTCGATTTTTGAGAGCTAATGTATGTGACCTGTCAACCTAATCGGACAACTCGACAGAAAACTACGTAGTTTTCAGGGCGGCGATCGCGCAATTAAAAATTTCATATTCTCTATTAACAGTGTGAAATTCATACCATCCTACAGATAAAATCAAACGACCTCAAGATCAACGAATCAAAATTGATCGAAATCGAATTAACGTCTACATTTGAACCTCTAAACGGTTTATTGTAATTCAAATGATTATTTCGTCCGCAAAAGATATCACGTTAAAACTCCACGCACGTTCGCCGATCATTCTCGATCAACATGATCAAGGATGTGATCTGTGATATCGTACTTCAGTATTTGTTTCAAACAAATACACAGCTTATTGACGAGCTCCCGTTCCGTCAGTAAAATTCGCAATATTAAAGAGAAAAAAAATGGAATGAAACGTTGACCGGTCTTTGTGGACTTCTTTTCAATCTTGTTCTCCTGAGTACAACCGGAAGTTCTTATTAGGCCGCTTTAGAAAGTCACGCAAGCGGCAAGCCCTGAGTCACATGATGTCAGTTTTAAACCGCAAGTTGATATACAAGTACAAATGTCTGATTAGTTGTAGTCTTCTAAACGGAAGTAAACTTGGAATATATCTCAATATGGGATGAAAGCTTAGAAATATGAATTAAAGGCGATTCTATTGGACACAAATCTGTTCTTACACAACAGCGGTGATAAACATTGTTATGTATTTCAACACATTTTAGTAGAGAACTTAACTTTTCGTATGCTAGTCAACATAAATTTTCAAAAGTGATAATTGCAAATTTTTGAACCATTTATATCGTAAATATTAGCGGGTCTGGAACCTAGACTGAGAAAAATGAAATGGAACAGTTAGTTAACCTGCCTAGACATCACGAGGAGTAACAGCTAGCAAAGAAACAGCTTCTAACTACTGACATTGACATTTAATGAGTAATATAGACTTGGGAACGAGGTTTTCCATTTCTCGCTTGTGCAAACAGTCAGCGAAGACAAGTCTACATAATGAATAAATAGGAAATTACACGGTGGTTTGATGGTATGAAATTCATTTTCTCGAGTTGAAAACTATTTTTTACTCACTCGCTGGGCTCGTTCGTAAATTGCTGTTTTTACAACTCGAAAATAAAATTCATATCTTTGCGTGCTGCCGTGTAATATCTTCTATATATAACTGCTCGTTAGTGAAATTTGAATATGGACATGATGGAGAACAACTTACGAAAGAGTAACTTTCGATTAGGACCAAACTTAACTTGTGAGAAACGTGCGACTGTTTTCAATTTCTTCACCCTCGTTTTGATCTGGAAAAGAAGAGCCTCGTCATAGGAAAATACAAAATTGTATTTTTATTAAGTATCGAGCGTAATTTTAAAATTAAACACCTTCACAATTTTAAGAGTCTTTTAACAGGGATTGACTACGACGGGCAACTGTGAACATAGCTATAGCCTTAATTACATTTTTTTAGTTTAACTTTTTTTCTGTCTTACGTGTTCCACGGCATAAGCAAGGACGGTTGATAATGCTGATTTTTTTTCTCTTCCTTGCATTTGTTCTGGTGCACGTTTGCCTTTTATGATAATTTCTGCGTCACGATAATAGTGTACTTTGTAAAGAACCGTGCTATCTTGCACGTCAAAGTCAGTTTATTGCTGAATCATCGTCTGCTTATGAAATGAGCTCAATTTCTTATCTTTGATTTTGTAACCACACGCTAATTTTATTCCTAACCGCATTATTAATCACACTACGGTCTTTTGCGTACTTTTATGGCAGGTAATTTTTTGGTAACATTTTTCTATGATATTGCCAACAGACGCCAGCTCTTGCTCTCACGTTGTAAGACAGCCACAGTGTGTCACTTTCGAATTCAGTATTATCATGATTATTTGTTAAGTGATGAATAATTATGAAGCTATACTAGAAATTGAGTTTGCCTTCAGAGAGATGGAAAGCTGTTTCTGTTTGGATGGTTTCTCTTGTTTTGTTTCAACAGAAACCCGCGCAAACTGCTTTAAACCAGCTTAAACGCTGAGCAATAGAGAAGTTGAGTTGAGTTGAAAAGAAACTTGTCAAAGAAAAGAAACAAACAATTTAGCAATCTAATGCAATATGCGAGCGATTTGACGATAAACAGAAATGACGAGGACTTGATTATTACCGGGAAGTATCAACACAAAACATAAACAGAACTCACAAAAGGTATTCATCCTTTCGCAAGTAAAGATCATTTACCGGAGCGGACGTCATTGAATGCTTTGTTTACGTTTTATTGTTTCGTCAACAATAGACTTTACTCTCGTGTGGAATTGCTGAGAAGCTGTTAAGGAAGGTCTATTCGATTTACAAACTAAACAACTGACGGAATAGAAAAAAAAAGTTGATGTCACAGAAAAAAAAAATCACCTAATAGGAATGACAAGGCATTGTAAATGCCCTGTTAAACACCCTCTCTCTTGCTTATGGATATTAGTCGAGAAACAGACATCACGAAACAGCGTTTTGTGTGTCATTAAGTATACAGAAATTAATTGCAGTAACAAAACCCTTTCTATCACTGCCGTGTCACCAAGCAATTCCATCATTTGCAATACAGCTATTTAAACGAACGGAGACCGCATGTCATTTGCTATTCATCTTTGCGTGCGTCAAACCTGAATCAGTGAAAGATCTCAGCTTTTCGCGTTCACAGTTCGCTCAGGCCGAGGCATTTTTCTATGGTGGAAAGATTTGTTTACATTCAGTGCGTCTTGGAAGAAGCATTGCTGACCTAAACTTATACGAGATTTGTGCTCATCTTCAAGTGCGGTGTTGGTCTTTGTTAATTGAATTGAACTGCCTCCGCTCTGCCTTTTGCAGTTTATTGAAGAACTTACTTTTCGATACTTTGCTCACCATGCGTTGAATCAGTATATAACGAAAGCGTTTTCCCGGCATATAACAGTGTTATTCACGATACGGAAACTTTGAAAGAGACCGAGCTGAATTTCATTAAATCTAATAACTGCCTTTTTCGGCTGATTGTTGACAATTTGTGCGTCAGTATATAAAGTCACGGAAAGCCTATCCAAAATTAGTAACGTTGCTGGTCTGGCGTTATAACCACTCGCGTCATTCGGTAACAATATTACGCGAAAAGTCTGTTTGTTTACGTATCTGGATCAAGAAAGCTGTTAGAACTAGCTTTCTGTTTACTGATGTGCAGTTCGTAAAGCTAGCTACGTAAGACCATTTCGAGCCGTCTTATACTTCCGCCATTTAATATCATCAGACTACAGCAGTACTTGTCTAATATTCGTCACCGGCGCTACGTGAAGTGCCAGGTTTGTCACCTGAACGCATCACATTACAGCAACCTACAGTAACAGCTACATGCAAGAACTTTGAACTCATATTCGGTACAGGTTCTACTAAACAGTTTCAATCTAGGTACGGGACAATGCTTCTAATAACGCGATAATCGCGTGCACGGATCTGGTCCAATACGCTTCGCGAAAAAAAGGGAACGTTTTTAAGTGAGCGTTTTGAAATCCGCGCGAATAAGAGCATAAAAGGATTTCTGTGGTGAGGCAGTGTTTCTTCCAACCATTGCAGAAGCGACGTGTCCAATGCGTTAGGGGCTCACTTCGTTCGTCCTACACCGTCAAATCAAAGAATCCTTCGCCTGATGTCACCCCTTCCTGATTTGATGTGTGGTATTGAACCTTAGTGGACTAATCTCTTCAGTTTAATATGGTCACGAGGATAAGGGCTTCTACTTTCACCTACAGGTAAATAAGTGCTGAATACCATTTATATTTTGTTTTGTTTCTGGCGGCAGGTTTCAGTTTCTGCCATCTAATCATTTATATTTCTTTTATCCCCCAAAATTTATTTTTTGGCCGTTTCTCTAAGAAAATGTTTAGCCCACGCAGCTTCAAGCGATCAAAACAAACTAACATGCTGTTTTTATTAGCCGAGTTTGCAAAGCGTTAGATTTTAGATTCGTTGTTAATATTCACAAAATTTTAACATTTGTGATTATTTTACGCGCCAGTTTATATAAAAGATTAGAATTTTAATCATTTTATTCAAGGCTTACATCTTATTTGGATGATTTGTAGTGCTTTATTCGATATTTGCTACATTTTCTTCGCTTCTAATTCAATTTGCAATTTTCTTCGGAATATAAAATAAATATGCGAAAACACACTCGCCATCAGTGAAAAGAATAAATTTCGTTACGAGTTACCTCACCACATTTTAGCGCGAATACGTCAGTGCCTAAAGTGTTAAATTGAAGGTTTCTTTTAAGCCTTTTAAGGTAAAGATCTCATGTAGAATAAATAAAGGCGCATTAACATGAAGTATTTACTTTACATAGAAACGGTTTTTTTAAAACCTCAAAACATCAAGAAAATAGCGGACAAAATTGTTCGCAGAATTTGCATGTCACCTTTTAAGTAACCAATTTATATGTTAAAGAACAGGTGCAGTTTGAGAATATTTATAAAACCTGCAGAGTTTTGCAAGTTATATGCGGTATCTATTGAGGCTAACGTAAAGCTGTGGTGGGATTCTTTTTCTTGCTGAAAGTAGTGCGACTATTCTCCTGACGTTATCACTGCTGTTTTGAGGGTATCAGTGTCAAGTGTTTAAGAACCATGAAATTGGTTGAAACTGGCTGTCAATACATTAAGGAATTATATTGATGTTTTGCAGAAATCCCCTTCATTGCTGCATTTCGACTTTTAAACAATATTGTAGCACCCAAGTTCCCATCATCAACTTGCTATGCAGCACGTTAAACAAAGGAATTTGAATAAAACAAGAAGTATTAAACTCAATCTTTTTTGAACAGGAACAAAGTATATATATTTGTTCATACATGCTGTCAATTTCTAGTGGAATGTCCTGTAATCTGAGATTTGTCATCAACTTAGATGCAAATTTGTTGTACAGATAAAAAAAAAACATTTTAAAGATCAAAATTATTGTAAAAAGATAAAGTCTGGTCTGGATGATTTAGGTTTAGAAGGCACAATACAAAACAACTTGCCTTAAAAGAGAGATAAGGATATTGGATCACTGAGCCATAAAAGGCAGCTTTTAATTATTAATAAGGCTGCTTTTAATAAAGTCTAAGATTGTATGATGCACATCAAAGTATTGATATTATAACTGATTTTGTAACCAGAAAAAGTTTGTATGTGATAAATTTGCCAGTTCAGTGTTTGATGGCACAAATAGAAGCACCGGTAGAATGTTGTGAGTTGGAAAATGATCTGTTTTAACTAATGTAAATTGTTACTGGTATGTATCAATGACAAAATAGTGCTGCATGAATATTTTTCAATGTGTATTAAGGAAACTATTTAAATATTTAAGTCATTGCTCTGGTTTTCTTCGTATAGTATACAAATTTTATATTTCAAATAAAATAATTTATTTCTTTAACCTTGTTACAATCTTAACCTCAAAGTTTACTAGTAGAGTAGAACCATAGTTTATAGAGGGGAACTGGTTATGAAACCGGTCAAATTTGTCTTATGTCTTTGTTCTCTTTTTTGGCCTTGACCATGCACAAAACACAATAGTTGTTTACTACTGACCTAGGAACTAACCAATAGAAACATGTTTATTACGTAATTCATGCATAGTGTATTAGCGCAAAAAAAAAAGATTGTGCACAGATTTAGACCTTCCAACATAAATCTTGGCATCTTTGTTTGCTCTTTTGATGTTTATCAGGCTTCATAACCATTCCCCTCTATTAACTATGGCAGAACTGAAAGAGATAATCTTTTTAAATAGACTTTCACTGCAGTAAGCCTTTTACTAAGCACATTACTGCAACTTTGTGCTTTATTTTTGATAAGGATTTCTAATAACCCCTGAACAATAAAAACATGCAACCAAACAACCTCCTGCATTCACCAATTTCTCAATAAATTATTGCAAATTCTTCTATATCAGCTTACCACAGGGCATACATACTTGCAAAATGTCTGAAATATATACAGCACAGTATAAAACTTTGAAGTAGCTCCAAAGCTCTTAGTTTCCTTTATTCTGGCATTTATGGAGCAAACTCTTGTTGAGACACTGCTTGGCATGATAAAATTTGTGTTTTTTTCTCGTCAGTGTATTCTTAAAATCTTGAGGACTCAGTGAAACTACCATCTTTTGATGTTGTTTCAGTCTAATTTGAGTTTTGTAGGCATAAATTTTCTTGAGTTATGTTTCAGCAAAGTGTCTCAAATTGTTGTCTGAAATTTGTCCTCCATGAGATTAATTAAAACTGTCTGAAGATTAAATGTCTGAAATTTTTATGTCAAAATTTTTTGCAAGTAATGTAATATATGAATGTTTGGAATATCAAACCATAGCCTTCTTATAAATTGTGAGGTATATTTTCAGAGGCATTTTGTGCATCTATGGCAGGTTTAACTGGCTGACGGCCTAACTGACTGATCGACTGACCAATTGACTGACCAACCAACTGATAGATTGATTGATTGATTGATCAACTACATGTTATATTAGGGACAGGAATGTCGCCAGGGCTTACACATTAATCAATAGACAATATTATTATGTAAGCTGTTAGAGAGTTTGTCAGCAATTTTCTAATGTTTTGATTTATTTAGTATAATTTGTAAATAAATAACCTATCAGGAGTCCTTAATAAAGCTATTGTATTGTAATTATAGTTTTCCTTACAATGTGAATACAGTCTGTCTAGCAAATTAGTGGGTTGCAAGAGTAAAACAATACTCACAACTTATTTAGAAAGTAATGTATGGTAACTTCAAGAACACCCAAGACCAAAGCTGAATTACCAACTGACCAAGTACAACTTACTCTCTTCTTTACAGTGCTCCTTCTCCTGATATTGGTCGAAGATCAGGCTTGAGCCGAAAACACTATTATGGCTCTCTTGAGGCTGTAAGTATAAGGACACAAAAATAATTTGTGGGTTAATTCCCAATGCCTCGGCATTGGCAGTTTAAAGGAGCTACGTCACGGTTTGCACATATTGAAAAGTTTAGCCTCAATTTTTCAAATTCGTCGTTTGTCCGAGTTAATTTTCTCCATCCTTAGCCATCCTTGTTTCCTTATGGTTTTTCATTATCTCGTTGGTGTTTTTCTATCTTATTAAACTGTTATTTTCAGGTTTCCAACCATTTAAAGGTAATTTTGTATGGGGCCAAAATAACTCAAAATACCGTGACTGAGCTCCTTTAAATCTCTTATTGACAATGTTCAATCATTTAACAGGTCCATGTAACATATATAATGTTGTATAAAATGTTTAACTGATTAGTCAGCTGGATGTTTAAGAATTTAATTTACCAGTAAATATTCCATGGAACATACTTTCTTTGATCAGTTGATTAAAGATTTTAATCCTCTTTCTGGCAAGGTTAACATCTTGTCACTGTGCTAGAGGTTTTACTCTTTGGCCAAAACCTCCATGTTACAGCCACCACGTCCAACAATTTATAAAATTATGATTTAGCAGAATATTTTGCATTACATGTCTCATCTTGATTATTTATAAAACAAATTAAATACAAATTTCTGTATCCAGACCCTGTCATCATTGACAAAACCAAATGTTTTGTTTTTGTTTTTTTGCAGTTGAACAGCTTACATTACACTGGAAGTGAGCTGGGTGAAAATGCAGGGCGGTTCAGGATGGAGAGTGGTGAAATTGGGGTGCAACCATCAATGCTGCAGGTAGAGGGGCTAAAATTGGGCGATTATGTCATAAAGCAAAGCTTATTATTCAGAAGAAGACCTATGCTGATGCCATAATGCTTGTTATACCTGGGATGATGGAACTATGTATAAAAACTTCTCACAAATTTGATGTGATGCATGCATCCTAATTCATAATTAACCAATCATAATCCAAGTGTATTGTCCTGATATCCTGTGACCTGATAAACTGGCTATCATATCATTGAGACATGGCCAAATTTGTCGATGGTAAATACTTAATTGTACCTTTTATGGTATGATTCTGCGGCAATTATCAGGCTTGTGTGGTCTCACCGTGGATAGTTTGTTGCAACCATTTAACAAATAGAAAACATGTGCTGTGTTTCTATCGAGTTATAGAAACCTGATCGGAAGTTTGGGAGAACGAGAAATGCTGTGGGAACACGAGCCGCAGGCAAGTGTTTCCACAGCTTTTTCGAGTTATCCCAAACTTTCACGAGTGTTTCTCTAACTCGATAGAAACACGGAGAACATGTTTTCTATTTCTTTTAGAAAACACCGCGACGAAAAAAATAAAAACAGCTTGTTTACTTTGATCATCAAAATGCAAATTCTCTTTGCTCGCGCCATCTTACAGCAACAGTCGTG